AAAAAAAAAATCAACACTTCACGAGACAATTGGATTTGCTTTGATGCCTTAAGGGCAAAATAAGGTTTAGTTCTTGAACTTGCAAGCTCAATAACTTGCTGTTATATCTTGTTGGACTGTGTGGATACTAAGGCTACTATTTACTGATCCCCTTAATAGACTTGATATTCTAATCAATATTAGGCATATTATTATCTGGTGATCCATACATGCATTAGATCTCCTTACCATTTCTATATCCCCTTAATTTGTACACTTCTTTTCGTTGTAGTAAAAACTTGCATGCACGGTGTAAAAATTCTCACATTGAGGCTAAACCACTATAAATCTGTGTGTGTTTTGGTTGGGATTAGGGCTTGAGCCCTAACATATAGCTAGTGATTTTTTAGGTGTCTAAATTTCATGTTTGATGGGTGTAGATGCACATGTGGGGGCATGGATCTCAGTACAGAAAAGGGCCAGAATCTCTCAGGGGTACACAACCAACAGCCATGCTTAGGCTTCCTTGTTATTGCTGTGAACCAGGTTGCAGGAACAACATTGACCATCCCAGAGCCAAACCCCTCAAAGATTTCAGAACCCTCCAAACTCACTACAAAAGAAAGCACGGAACTAAGCCATTTGTATGCAGGAAATGTGGAAAGGCCTTTGCTGTGAAGGGAGACTGGAGAACCCATGAAAAGAACTGTGGAAAACTATGGTACTGCACTTGTGGATCAGATTTTAAACACAAAAGGTCATTGAAAGATCATATTAAGGCATTTGGAAATGGCCATGAAGCTTATGAGATGGACTGTTTTGATGAAGAAGATGAACCTGCTTCTGAAATTGAGCAAGATAATGAATCCTCTCAGTGATTGACGATGAAGTAAGCTTGATTAGAGTTGTTGTCAAATTGTCTGAAATGTCTGTGATTTTTAACAAAAAAAGTACCAAGGAGGGCATTGAGCATAAATGCATTTACATAAATTACTCGACACTAGAGGAACCATTTTGTTCTCATCTTTTCCTTAGTTATTATGAAATGTTTTTATCTTTATTTACCTCTATCTTTTTATGTTTGTCCGTATATTTAACATTGCCATATATTTACTTAGCGATGCATGAGTGAGAATTCGTGGATTTGTTGTTTTCTAATATTTCGCTTTTGATTTTTGATGTAGTTAAACTATTCTTTTTAGGGTTTGATTTATGTAAAGGCTGGCTAAGTTGTCACATTTTGATCAATGTATTTGAATTAAAATAACAATGTTTCGAGGGTATTATAATTTATCAATCAAATTTTCGACATTCATTTAAATCAACGAGCATTTGATCCGTCTTTTATCCACTTACACTTTCAAGTTTTATTCAAAAAGGCATATGGGATCCTATGGCACGATATGGGTTGTTTGGTTCCATATTGCTGTATATAAAGGGCTTTTTACATTTCTCAATATCTGAATTTATCAGCTTTTGCCTTTTACAAGTCCAATTCAGTCACTGAAGAATCCTTTTGTTGGATTGATGCAGCACGTACTATGTTCAACTGTTCATTTCCTCGACAAATAGAAGGTATAGTCGTATTCGAAGGAAATCATCATATAGTTCCCACCTTCTTCATTTGGTTTATGAATCTCTAAGATTATAC